ATGCAATAAAGGAAGACGCATCGGTCCCGTGAGATTGTATTATCGTGTACCATAGGAATCAGGTTGTGTCGCAAAAACTGGAACCAAAGTCCCGCCTCCTTGTTGAGATGGCCGGCCAAAATAATTTGGCGCCAGTTGTCCCTCGACCATCCATGATTGGGGAGCGTAAGGAGGGATGCGATATCATCATCGACAACTTCTAAAGTCCCTTTCATAATCTGAGCAAACGAGCATTCCGGTGGTGGGATGAGTCCAAGGGTTGCATTAAGCTTAGGCCCCGACCAATCAATTTTTCTACCTCGAATGGTCACCGAAATGCTTTTGGTGGTGCCAACGGCCGTGTAAAACTCGGTTACCCAAGATACGTTGGCCTTTAACGAGGCAACCACCATTTGTTCCCATTGCAAAGCCACCAAATGGTGCTTGATAGCCATAAAAGAGTTGACCAACCGTGGGTCAAATGGTCGTTCGAGAAGGATTTTGTTATTCTTGATACGATCGTACCTCTCTTGAAATGGTATCACTTTGGCTTTCTTTTTCTTTGGGGCTGGTTGCTTGTTCTGCTTCGTGGTTGCCTTTCTCTTTTTGGAGGGTTTTGGTTTATTGACTTTCAAAACCTCCATTTCTGGAATTTCTTGTTCACTTTCCTCCCTTTATTCAGGTTCCTCTGCCACATCTTCAGCATCCTTTAAATCTTGTGCCATCTCATCCTCATAATCACTGTCTCCAGGCACTGGTTTTGGTATTGGTTGTGGAATAACAGACTCTGAGCTTGAACTTGCAATACTTCCTTATGAGGATTTTGTGCTCACAGTCTGCCCACTGGGGGCAGTGACTGGTATTTCCTCAACAGGAAGTTTATTTTCTGTTTGAGTCTCTGGGGGCTGTTGTGGTTGTTCTTCGATTGTCTCAGGAACAGAAAAAGGAAATAAATCTTCTGGATTGGTGGAAGCATTATCTTCAAAATCAAATTGGAACTCCTCCCCTAGAGTATCACTAAAGTTAAGGTCAAAGTCATGTATGATGGGTGGGCCAAGCGGTGTGGAGGGAAGGGGAATAGGGGGCTGTTTAGTGGGTGGAGGGATAAAAGGCGGAGTAATGGGGGAGGGTGTAGGAGTTATAGATGGTGGTGTGGTTACGGTTAGAAAGAGGGGTTTTGGTGTTGGATAAGGAAGGGTTTCGGCGGCCGGCGGTCGTCAAGTGGACGAACCAGCACCGACGGTGGTGGAATGTATAAAGGTGAAAGGGGTAAATATAGTGGTGAATAGAGGAGGAGTTCGAGTAACACTTACCGGCGTGATGACCGCATGATGTTCGTTGTAGTCTACCCGGACGGCCGATGAATGACCGGCGCCGGTGCTGGTGAAATGTCTCGCCGGTGGTGCAAAGGTAATGGGATCTGGCGAAAGAGGCGTTGAGTAAGGCATTTGTGGAGCGACCGGTGGTGCGACGGGAGCGGAGGAGGAGGAGTCGCCGGCGACAGCCCGCCGAGTGGAGCGCCGAGTAGGGAGTCGGATCGGATGGTGGTTTTCGTGATTTTGCCATGGAAGAGAGAAAGGAGAAGATGAATAGTAAAAAAAATGCTTTCCCTCCTTTTTCTTACATACTATAGGGAATCGCCCCTCTTCCATGCAAAACCCTTGGTGTAAAGATTTTGGGATTAAAAAAATTTACAAAGTACATGTCCAATCACCTTACACAAGCCACCATTTTCAGAAACTAATCATTTTCTTTCATTAAAAAAATCACATTTCTTTTTTTAATTTCCCTTTTTCTTTTCCTTTGAAGATTATCCACAAAAAACCCGCCAATATTCAAAAGTTTACCAAAACCCACTTCAGAATGTGAGCATGAGATGTTTTCCGAGAGCATACCTGTATGAAATAAACATAAAGTACGAAAATTAAAAATATTTACAATATTTACGACAGAAGGCTCGACAATCATTCAGAGAGATTTTTGGCGTGGATCTTGCATTCCTTCTGGGAAGAAATGTTTGACCGATGTCCATTCACTTTAAAAACCGTATTGTCTTGTGGGTTCAAGAGATCGATAGTTCCAAATTTTTCCACTTCAACAATAGTGAAAAGTCCCGACCATCTAGATTTGAGTTTCCCGGGGAAAAGCCTCAATCTAGAATTAAAGATAAGCACTTTTTGACCTTTTTCAAAAATTCTCTGATTGATTCTACGATCATGCCACATTTTCGTCTTTTCTTTGTATATTTTGGCATTCTCGTAGGCTTGGTACCTCCACTCTTCCAACTCATTGAGTTGGAGCTTTCTTTTCTCTCCCGCTAGAGTTGCATTTAAATTAATTCCTTAATAGCCCAAAATGCCTTATACTCTAATTCTAACGGAAGGTGACAAGATTTTCCAAAAACAAGTTGGTACGAAGACATGCCCAATGGAGTCTTGAAAGCGGTACGGTAGGCTCAAAGTGCATCATCCAATTTAAGCGACCAATCTTTACGATTTGGCTTAACCACTATTTCTAAAATATTTATAATCTCACGGTTCGAAAGTTCCGCAAGACCATTGGTTTGCGGGTGGTAAGTCGTGGCTACTTTACGTTGGATGTTGTACTTTTCAAGAGTGGTACTTAACACTTTGTTTATGAAATTAGTCCCTTCATCGCTTATCAATGCTCGGGGTGTACCAAAACGTACGAAAATATTTTTATGCAAAAATTCCACTACTGTTTTGGCATCATTTCTTGGGCAAGCCTTTGCTTCTATCCATTTGGAGACATAGTCTACCGCAACCAAATTGTACTGATTGTGAAAAGACATGGGGAATGGTCCCATAAAGTCAATACCCCAAACATCGAAAAGTTCGACTTCCAAAATATTGTTTAAAGGCATCTCATTTCCTTGGGACAAATTCCCCATGTATTGGCATTGGTCACAACTCTTTACAAATTCAAAAGCATCTTTAAACATGGTAGGCCAAAAAAATCAGCTTTGTAAAATTTTAGCGGCCGTATGTTGTCCACCAAAGTGGCCTCCGTACCTGATGCGTGACATTCCTTTAACAAAGCTTGTATTTCATCATCCGGGACACATTTTCTCAAAATTTGGTCCGATCCCAATTTAAAAAGGAACAGATCATCCCACAAATAATGCTTGCAATCGTGAAGAAATGTTTTAAACCGGTTTCCCTGAAAATGATATGGTTTAAGACCACATGCAAGATAGTTGGCAATATCTGCATACCAAGGATGTTTTTTTTTTTGAAAACTGTGTTGTATGGCCAAAACATATTCATCCGGGAAAACTTCCTTAATCTCATGACTCCCCCCACTTGTTACCTTTCCTTCAATTCTAGAAAGGTGATCGGCCACTTGATTGTCACTTCCCTTTCGGTCAACAATCTCAAGATCAAATTCTTGCAATAAAAGAATCCATCTAATAAGTCGTGGTTTTGCATCAACTTTGTTAAATAAATACTTTATTGCAGAATGATCTGTATGAACAGTGACTTTGGTACCAATCAAGTATGAACGGAAACGATCAAAAGCAAATACTACCGCAAGTAATTCTTTTTCCGTAGTAGTGTAATTTAATTGGGCTTCAACAAGAGTCTTACTTGCGTAGTATATGGGGTGAAAATTTTTATTTTGCCTTTGTCCCAAAACGGCACCCACGGCCCAATCGCTTGCGTCACACATTACCTCAAAAGGTAGGGACCAATTTGGAGTAATGATAATGGGTGTCAAGACAAGAGCATTCTTGATTGTTTCAAAAGCCTTTTTACAATCGGAGGTGAACTCAAAACCTTGGTCAACATGCAACAAGTTACATAAGGGTTTTGCAATTTTAGAAAAATCCTTAATAAACCGTCGGTAAAAACCTGCATGTCCCAAAAAGCTACGAATGCCTTTGACCGAAGTAGGTTCGGGCAATTGCATTATCACCTCAATTTTAGCTTTGTCAACTTCCAAACCTTTCTTTGAAATCATGTGACCCAAAACAATTCCCTCTTGTACCATAAAATGGCATTTTTCCCAATTTAAAATCAAGTCATGGGTCTCACATCTCTCCAAACTCTTTTTCAAATTTTCAAGACAATTTTCAAAATTAGTGCCAATAACCGAAAAATCATCCATAAAAACTTTCATAGTGTCCTCAATCATATCCGAAAAAATAGACATCATACATCGTTGGAAAGTGGCCGGAGCATTACATAAGCCGAATTGCATACGTCGGAAAGCAAAAGTTCCGAGGGGACAAGTGAAAGTAGTTTTCTCTTGATCTTCAGGTGCAATATAGATTTGATTGTATCCCGAGTACCCATCCAAAAAACAATAAAACTCCTTTCCGGCCAACCGATCTAGCATTTGATCTATGAAAGGCAAAGGGAAGTGATCTTTCTTAGTAGCTAAGTTCAATTGCCTATAGTCCATACAAATCTTCCACCCGGTAACGGTCCTAGTTGGGATAAGTTTGTTTTTGTCGTTGGTGATTACCGTGGTACCACCTTTCTTAGGCACGCATTGTATCGGACTTACCCAACCGCTACTAGCAATGGGGTATATAATACCCGCGTCTAACCACTTCAAGATTTTCTTCTTAACCACTTCTTTCATGATTGGATTTAGCCTTCTGTGAGGTTGTATCTTTCCAACACTATTTTCTTCCAAGATGATCTTATGTTGGCAAAGGGACGGACTTATTCCCCTAATATCATCTATGGTCCAACCAAAGGTTTTCTTATGGTCTTTCAGCAAATCTATCATTCTTTCATCTTGTTCACTACTTAAGTTGGAAGAAATAATCACGGGCAATTTTTCTCCTTCCATAAGATATGCATACTTAAGATGTGAAGGCAGTGGTTTTAACTCCAAATCGGGTGCTTCTATAATGGACGGGGTTTGGGTTGGTATGTTTTTAAAGTCCAACTGTTCAAAGGCAGCTATGTCCTCAAGTAAGTCTTCTTCACAAATGTCTTCTGCCATGCCCACAGTGTCTCCACTATGGACACAGTCGATCAAACTTAGATCTAATCACCTACTGAGTAAATAGACGAACAGTCCTCAATCTCCCCATTGAACTTAAGAGTCTTAAATACATTGAAAGTCACATGCTGGTCATTTACTCTCATGGTTAACTCTCCCTTTTGTACATCAATTAATGTCCTACCCATACCAAGAAAGGGTCTTCCTAAGATGATCGAAACATTCCTAGCGGCTTCATAATCTAACACTAGAAAGTCGGCTGGAAAGTTGAATTTGTCCACTTTTACCAAGATGTCTTCAATTTTACCTTTTGGATATGCCAAGGACCTATCCGCTAGTTGCAAAGTCACGGTGGTAGGTCGAACTTCCCCAATTCCCAACCGATTAAAAATGGACAAAGGCATGAGATTTATACTTGCCCCAAGGTCACACAAGGCATGACCTACTTCTTTCCCTCCAATAGAGCACGGGATGGTGAAACTTCCCGGGTCTTTTAATTTTGGGGGAATTTTGCAAGTAAGAAGGGCACTACATTCATTTGTCAAAGACATGGTCTCAAATTCACTCAGTCTTCTCTTTTTATTGAGGATGTCTTTCAAAAATTTAACATAGCTAGGCATTTTCTCGAGAGCTTCTACCAAAGGTATGTTAATGTGGAGTTGCTTAAAGATGTCCAAGAACTTCTTAAACTGTACATCCACATTTTTGGCTTTCATCCTACCTGGGAAAGGTAGATCTCTCAGATGTAAATCTGTTGGACCGGTCTTTTTCTGTTGGGGTGTGGGCAGTTTCTGTCCACTGTGAGCAGTGTCAGATGGAGACTGGGTGGTGCTGGAACTGGGCAAATCTGCTGTTTCTTGAACAGAAATAGGATTCTATGTTACTTCAGCTGTAGGAAACGGAACTGGAAATTTTGATGTGTCAAAAGAATGTGAAATATTTTCATCACAAATCGGCTCACTAGGTGTTTCCTTTGTGACATTAGAGTCTCCCAAGTTCTTATCACTTTTTAAAGTCACGGCCTTAACATGTTCCTTAGGTGTTTCTGTGTCACTAGGAAAAGTTTCTTGAGGTCTATTCTTGAGATCCGCAGCAAATTGGCCAAGTTGGGTCTCAAAATTCCTCAAAGTGGCATTGGTTTTGTTTATAAAACCTTTGAATAAAGATTCGAGTGAACCATTACCCTTCGATGCATTTTGTTGCCTAGGTGCATGTGATTGTGAAGATTGCCCATTTTGGTACATGTGATGATTACTTTGCATGTGACGACCACCTTGATGAAATCCCGAGGGATTTGAAGGTCGGTTTTGGACTTGAGTTGCCCCGGGGGGTTGAAGTCCCGGATTTCCGGCCAATGAAAAATTCGGATGATTTCTCCAATTTGGATTGTACGTAGGAGAAAATGGGCTATTTCTTCTATAGTTCCCAACATAATTTACCGAAACGGGATTTCCGAGGCAAAACTCATAAGAATGATTTTCGCCACAGAAAACACAAGGTTCAGTTATGTAAGAATTAGACATTATGGATTGGACTTGATTCTTTTCCCCATTCAAATTTAAATTGTTTTTAACCACATTAGTTAAAGCAACAATTTGAGCATTTAAAGAAGAAAAGGCATCAAGCTCATGAATTCCCGAGGCAGATTTAGAAACAACAGCACGAGGGTTAGACCATTAAGTATTATTATTAGAAATTCGTTCCAAAATGTCATACCCCTCGTTGTAGGTTTTATCTGTAAAAGCGCCACCGGCCGTTGCGTCAAGAATAATCTTAGCGGCACTGAAAAGTCCATTATAAAAGGTTTCCAATTGAATACAATGAGGGATTCCGTAGTGAGGACATTTCCGAAGAAGGTCCTTGAATCTCTCCCATGCATCCGATACCGCTTCATCCTCTTCTTGGCGAAACGTCATAATCTCATTTCTAATTTTTACATTCCTCGTTGGAGGAAAGTATTTTTTTATAAATTTTTCCGCCAAATCATTCCAAGTAAGGATCGAGTTTGGTGGTTGGGAATTTAGCCATGCTCTAGCTCTATCCTTCAATGTATAAAGGAAAAGTGTCAAGCGTAAGGCCTCTTGAGTAACTCCGAGAATTTTAAAATGATCTGTCATTTCTATAAAAGATTTAAAATGAGAGTGCGGATCTTCCGAAGATAACCCCCCAAACTGACCCATTGCGGAAATCATTTGAAACATAACCGGCTTGGGTTCAAAAGATGTTGCTGTCATTTCGGGCCTACCAATTCCCGAGGCCAATTGACCAAATTCGGGAGTTGTGTAGTCCCGTATGCCTCTATTTTTGTCATCGGCAATGTTAACCGTGGCTTCCCAAGGAGGTGGATTATCCCCCATGGTACGGTTTAAAGTGGGATTTTGCCGATTGTTTCTACCTCTTCTTCGTCTCCTAATGGTTCTTTCTAACTCAAGATCAAGAGGTAAAAGATCACCGTGTTGTAGCCGTGGCATACAACACAGGAACAGCGAATGAAAATACATAAGAAATACTTGAACTGAAATTTTACTAAAACAGTTGCCCACAGAGGGCATACAATACACAGTGGCGAGAATTAAAGACTAAGTACGAAAATAAAATTACAACCAGAAATTAAACTTACTCTACTACTGTAGAGCTTGAGAGAATGCTCCAAGGTTGCTTAGCTAAATTGTTGATGGAGTGGATGTCTTTCAAATGAGAGAAAAGCTTCAATATATAGGAAAAACTGATGACCGGACAAACTCTTCACCCAAAGGAAGAAAGTCTCATCCTCTAGAATGTAAGGACCTCCCAACACCACATGTCTACTTTTTCTGGCCTAGTCACTTTTTCTTGAAAGGTTGCAAAAGGTAAAGCTACCTAACCATTAAAATAATGAAAAGGATTTTTCATTAAAATAATGGTAGGAGTACTTTATTGGCATTTTATAACTCAACCAGGCCCATTCTTCCAAGTAACTCAAGATTTTTGGATCTAAACTCAGAATTAAATCCCATTAACACCCAAGAGAACCAGTATTTGAATTTTGTTCAAATCCGACTTGATGAAAATACGCCATAGGATGAATGTGAGCAGAAAGCGGGCAGTTTACCAACAGCAATGGGTTTTTTAGAAAATAATTAAATTATTGACCTTTCATCACCTCTTAACATATTTTGGACCAAAAATACAGGATAAGAGCAAAATGGATACCACAGACACAATAAAATAGGGGTATTGAACAACAAATAACTCTCACAAATTGAGAGTTATCAAGCGGGGATGAATACAAACACAATAACTTTCACTATTAAAAATATATATTGATAAAGAAAGATCAATACAAATTTTTACATATTGTTTGCGGAATAGACAAGTTAAAGAAAAACCTATCTAAAACAATCTAGAGATACACACAGATACATTTAGCAAATATATGAGATTTACCGAAAGAGATAAGACAGAAGTGTGTTCTTCTTGGGTATGCGTCTTAGAATTAGAGAGAAATTCTAATTTGCTTGTATCGCAGCATTGCATGAGTGGAGAAAGCATTCAGCTATATATACTTATTGCATTAAATGCAATTCAGAAGAGATAGAACACATGTCAAGCTTTTAGAGGAAAGCTTATCCTTTGCTACAGTGAATAGTACTTTTGTCTATTCATGAGCAGACATCCTTTCATAGAGTTGGTGGGCATTAGAGACGACTAATCGGCTCCGTGCAATACTATACTCTTAAGAGGGTATGGGTTTGTCCTTTGTGTGTGGAAGGACAAGAAAAAAACAATCGTGCATGGCAAGCTTCATTTGATCGCTGAATGCTGGAATAATGCTGGAGGTCTTTTCAGCATTCACTGAGGCTTTTGCAGTCTTCACACATAGGTTGACCAGGTTGTATTCACTGAATACCGCTTCAGATCACAAACACATTAGTCACTAATCTTCACTTTCAGTCTTTGACTTTTGCTGAAGGTTCTTGGGTATGAGTTTTGTCTTCTTGAAGTATAATTGCCGTTGTAGGATTACAATACATGTTTCAGTGATCACTAAACAGACTCAGTGATGATCGTTGGAACTGAATAGACAAAAACATAATACTTCAATGGGTAAAAGGTATTATCATCAAATCAATGAGAGAGAGGATCAACAGGCCTCTTGCCTAATGTTGGCATGGTTCCAGAACTCAAAGGGGTATGGAAAGCCTTGGGACGTACAATATGATCAACCAGCTTAAGGACATGTTCCAACTGCAGGCTAGGCAATAGCGGTATGACATTGTCAAGGCTCTAATAGATTGTAAAATGACCCCAGGACGCAACATCAATATACATGTTCTAAAAATGAAATTGTAAATTGATCAGCTTAAGCGTCTAGGTTTCTTCTTTAGTCAAGAGCTTACTACAGATTTAACTTTAAGTTCACTGACTAGTTCATATCAATCTTCCGTTCTGAACTTTAATATAAACAACATGGAGAAAACTATAATGGAGATTCATGGCATGTTTAAGGCTGCAGAGTCTAACATGGCCAAGTCCAAACCTGCTGCTCTAGTACTGGCCATTCGGGAGGGAGGTATAGAGAAGAAAAAGGTTGCCCTTGCAAAAGGCAATGGGAAAGGAAAGGCTATTCATCCCAATACCAAACCCAAAACAAAAGGCCAAAAGAAAGCCCAATATGATATACATTAATCAAAGACTCTTGAGGATGATGTATGCTTTCACTGGAAGGAAGTAGGACATTGGAGGCATAACTGTCCTAAATATCTGAAGGATCTTAGGAAGCTCAAATCTAATGGAGCAGGAACTTCAGGTATGTATATGATTGAACTACATAGTACTTCAGCTTCCAATTCCTGCGTATTGGACATGGGATGTGGTACTCGCATTTGTACTGATGTGTAGGGACTAAAAAGAAGTAGGAAGCTGAGACGTGGGGAGCTGGACCTGATCATGGGTATCAAGCAGATTGCTGATGTTGACACTATAGGAAATTATAAGCTTTCTTTTTTGTCTGGATTGTCTATGTTTTTAATTGATTGTTGCTACTCAGCCGATATAACTAGAAACATCATTTCTTTTTATGCTTTGTATAAAGATGATTTTTATTTTGGGTTTGATAATGGATCTATCCTTGTTTATAAAGACGTAATGCTTTATTTTAAGGCTAACCCATGTCGTATTTATGAAACCACTATAAGTGTAAGAGATAATAAAAGTTCAATCTATAATGTTGAATCAATTCCATCCAAAGATGTTTTGGATAAGTCGTATATGTGGCACTGTCATCTTGGTCACATTAGCACAAAACGCATCACCAAATTCCAATTGGATGGGATTTTGGAATCGTTTGACCATGCGTCGAATAATGAATGTGAATTTTGTCTTCTAGGAAAGATGACAAAGACACCATTTACGGAACCTGTGAACGGGGCAAAGATCTCTTGGACATAGTACATACTGATGTATATGGGTCGTTCAGATCAGTCACGAGACATGGTGAGAGATACTTTGTTACTTTTACTGATGACTTCAGTAGATATGGATATGCTTATTTGATTAAACATAAGTCTGAAACCATCGAGGTGTTAAGGACGTTCCAAAACGAGATAGAGAATCAACTGAATAGGAAGATTAAGACTCTCATATCTTATAGGGGAGGTGAGTATCTTAGTCAGAAGGTCCAAGATCATCTAAAGAGTTGTGGTATAATCTCATAACTTACCCCTCCTAGAACACCACAACATAATGATGTAGTTGAAAGGAGAAACCGAACATTTCTTGATATGGTTCAGTCCATGATGAGTCAAACTGTGCTTCCAATCGGTTTTTGGGGCTATGCTTTAGAAACTGCTGTAAGGATCCTAAAGCTTGTACCAACAAAGATGGTTTCCAAAACACATTCTGAAATATGGTGTGGAAAAGTTCATGCACTTGCATATTTAAAGATCTGGGGTTGTGAGGCTTACGTACGTCGTGAAGTTCAAAATAAACTAGAACCCATATCAGAAAGGTGTTATTTTGTTGGATACCCAACTGATTCTTTTGGATATTTATTCTGTAAACCTTCAGAAAACAAAGTGTTTGTTGCTCGAAGGACAGTTTTCCTTGAAAGGGAACTGATGTCCAAAGGGGCCAGTGGGAGCTGAATTGATCTTGAAGAAAATCAAGAGACAACCAACATGGAATCTGATATTGGCACTAGTTCTCAGCAACAAATTGTAGAACCTACGGTTGTTGAGCCTTGGCAAAGAGTTACTAAAGAATCTGACATCCAGCCACCACCTATTCGCAGGTCTGATAAAATGCGCCATGCACCAGAAAGATATAATTTACTCATATCTGATGGTGATGATACACAGGTAGATCTTGATGAGCCTACCAGTTATCATGAATCCATGGTGTTCCCTGAGGTTGCTAAAAATGGAAGTAGGCTATGGAGAGCGAGATGCAATCCATGTATTAAAATCAAGTATGGGACTTGGTTGATCATAGACCCAGTCAAAAGACAGTATGGTGTAAATGGGTCCTTAAGAAGAAAACCAAC